AATACAACTTTCACACAGGCTATCGGACCACGTGTTCCCCGAATCGGTTTGGAAAGCGTTCGGGGAACACGCGGGCATCTCGAAGGTCATCTTGGCCGCCTGGAGGCCATTTTGACACTTTCGGGCCTTCTTGGAGGACGTCTTGGAGGGCTCTTGGGCCGTCTTGGAGGCCATCTTGAGCGTCTTGGAGACCTCTTGGGCCGTCTTGGGGGCCTCTTGGGGCCGTGTCTTGGGCCGCTTGGGCGATCTTTGGGGGCACTTAGGCAGTCTCGGGCCGTCGGAAGGCAGAAACAAAGCAAATGCCCCAATCCTTCAAAGACCTACGGACAATCAATGAGTTTGGCCTTTTCTTGCCTTCCTGGAGGCCCTCTTGGGGGCCTCTTGGTCCGTCTTGGGCCATCTTAGGGCCATGTTCGGCCGTCTTGGTGGGCTCCTGGTCGGTCTGACGCCGTCGGAAGCCGTTTTGGGGGCCTCTCTGGGCCGACTTGGGGCCCTCTTGGAATGCTCCAGGGCCGTCTTGGAGGCCATCTTGGGCGTCTTGACGGCCTCCTGTGCCGTCTTGGGGGCCTCTTGGGGCCTTCTTGGGGCCGTCTTGGGGCCATCTTGGAGGCCTCTTGGGCGATCTTTGAGCGATCTTTGGGGGCTCTTGGGCCGTCTCGGGCCGTCGGACGGCCGAAAAGACGCAAATGTCAACATCCTTCAAACACCTAGGGACCATCAATGTTTTTGGCCTCTTCTGGCCTTCCTGGAGGCCCTCTTGGGGGCCTCTTGGGCCGTCTTGGGCCAGCTTCGAGCCAACTTCGGCCATCTTGTTGGGTTCCTGGCACGTCTGACGCCATCGGGAGCCGTCTTGGTCGCCTTTCTGGGCCGACTGGGTGCCTTCTTGGGGTGCTTCGTGGCCGTCTTGGAGGCCATCTTGGGCGTCTTGGAGGCCATCTTGGGCGTGTTGGAGGCCTCTTGGGCAGTCTTGGGGCCCTCTTGGGGCAATCTTGGAGGCCACTTGGGCCGTCATGGGGCCCTCTTGGGGGCCTCTTTGGCGATCTTGGGGGCCTCTTGGGCCGTATGGAGCAGTCGGAATGCCGAGAAGAAGCAAATTCCACAAACCTTCAAAAACCAATGGAAAATTAATGATGTTGCCCTCTTCGAACCCTCCTGGAGAACCTCTCGGGGGCCTCTTGGGCCGTCTTGGAGGCCTCTGGGTGGCCTCTTGGGCCGTCTCGGGCCGTTTTGGACTCTCTTGGGCCGTCTTGGAGGCCGTCTTGGGCCATCTTGGGCGGACTTGGAGGCCATATTGGGCCTTCTTCGCGATGTTTGAGGATGTTCCGAGCGAAACGGCTGTTTTTGGCGACGACATACGGGTTTTCTGGGTGGCCGGCGGGACGGGCCGAAGCCCCAGGGGGAGTTCTTTTGGAAAAGAACCAAAAACAAAACCGATAGGATTCGGCACGCCAGGCACCCCTTCGATACATCAAAAGGGGGCGGCGGATCGAAAACGCCTACGGCGAATCACCGCCGCCCCCTGCCTTTGTGGAAGCGCCTATGTGGCCGAACGTTGAGGCCAGACCTGCCAAGCTATCGGACCATGTGTTCCCCGAATCGGTTTGGAAAGCGTTCGGGGAATACGTGGGCATCTCGAAGATCATCTTGGCCGTCTGGAGGCCATTTTGACACTTTCGGGCCTTCTTGGAGGACGTCTTGGAGGGCTCTTGGGCAGTGTTGGAGGCGATCCTGAGCGTCTTGGAGGCCTCTTGGGCCGTCTTGGGGGCCTCTTGGGGCCGTCTTGGGCCTCTTGGGCGATCTTTGGGGGCACTTGGGCCGTCTCCGGCCGTCGGAAGGCCGAAAAGAAGCAAATGTCAACAACCTTAAAAAACCAAAGGGATATTCGTGTTTTGGGCCTCTTCTGGCCTTCCTGGAGGTCTCTTGGAGGCCTCTTGGTCCGTCTTGGGCCATCTTAGAGCCATCTTCGGCCATCTTGGTGGACTCCTTGCCCGTCTGACGCCGTCGGAAGCCGTTTGGTAGGTCTCTTTGGGCCATTTTGGGGCCTCCTGGGGTGCCGCAGCGCCGTCTTGGCGGGCCATTTTGGGCGTCTTGGAGGCCTCTTGGCCCATCTTGGGGCCCTCTTGGGGCCCTCTTGGTGGCCTCTTGGGCCGTCTCGGGCCATCTTGGAGGCCTCGTGGGCGATCTTGGGGCGATCTTGGGCACCTCTTGGGCCGTCTTCTTGAGCCGACGGAATACCGAAACGAAGCAAATGCCAACATCTTTCAAAAACCTAAGGAAAACAAATGACATGCCTTGGAGGCCATCTTGAGCGTTTTGGAGGCCTCTTGGGCCGTCTTGGGGGCCTCTTGGGGCCGTCTTGGGCGATCTTTGGGGGCATTTGGGCCGTCTCGGGCCGTCGGAAGGCAGAACCAAAGCAAATGCCACAATCCTGCAAACGCTCATGGGAAATCAATGATTTTGGCTATTTCTGGCCTTCCTGGGGGCTCTCTTGGAGGCCTCTTGGGCCATCTCAAGGTCATATTCGGCCGTCTTGGTGGGCTCCTGGCCCGTCTGACGCCATCCGAAGCTGTTTCGGGGGCCTCTCTGGGCCGACTTGGGGCCCTCTTGGAACGCTCCAGGGCTGTCTTGGAGGCCATCTTGGGCGTCTTAAAGGCCTCTTGAACCGTCTTAAAGGCCTCCTGGGCCGTCTTGAGGGCCTCTTGGGCCGTTCTGGGGCCATCTTGGAGGCTTCTTGGGCGATCTTTGGGCGATCTTTGGGGGCTCTTGGGCCGTCTTCTTGAGCCGACGGAAGGCCGAAACAACGCAAATGTCAACATCCTTAAAAACCAAAGGGGAAAACGTGTTTTGGGCTTGTTTCTGGCCTTCCTGGAGGCCTCTTGGAGGCCTCTTGGGCCAGAGTCGAGCCACTTTCGGCCATCTTGGTGGGTTCCTGGCACGTCTGACGCCGTCGAGAGCCATCTTGTGGGCCTCTCTGGGCCGACTTGGGGCCCTCTTTGGGCGCTTCGGGGCCGTCTTAGAGGCCATCTTGTGCGTCTTTGAGGCATCTTGGCCCCTCTTGGGGCCCTCTTGGGGCCGTCTTGAGGGCCTCTTGGGCCGTCATGGGGTCATCTCGGAGGCCTCTTGGGCGATCTTGGGGCGACCTTGGGGGCCTCTTGGGCCGTCGGAAAGCCGAAAAGGCGCAAATACCAAAATACTTCAAACACCTAAGGAAAATCAATGATTTTGGCCGCTTCGGGCCTTCCTGGAGGACCTCTTGGAGGCCTCTTAGGCCGTCTTGGAGGCCTCTTTGGAGCCTCTTGGGCGTTTTGGCCATCTTGTTGAGGCCATCTTAGGCCGCCTTGGTCGCATCGTGGGCCGTCTTGGAGGCATCTTGGGGCCATCTTAGCCGTCTTGGAGGCCATCTTGGCCGTCTTGGAGGCCACATTGGGCCATCTTGGAGCCATCGGGGACGGAACAACCCTTTGCAACCACCTCGGGAAGATTTTTCGGCATCCTTCCGGGTGGCCGGCGGGACGGGCCGAAGCCCCAGGGGGAGTTCTTTTGGAAAAGAACCAAAACCAAAACCTTCGGCCTATTCCGCCACCGTGCCTGGGTGGTGGGTCAGAGACCTCATGTGTGTTGGTTGGGATCTCGTGGTTGGCCTCTCGGGGGCCTCTGGGAGGCAGTCTTGAGGCGTCTTGGGGGCCGTTTTGGGGCCTCGTCGGGCCTCTTGTGGGCCTCTTGGGGCCTATTGGGGCGTCTTGGGGGCCTCCTGGGGGCCTCTCGGGCCGCGTCTCGGGGCGGAAGGCGGTTAGATTTGGCCGTGTTGGGAAGTTCTTTGGCCGTCTTGGGGCTTTCTTGGGCCGTCTTGGGGGCCTCTTGGGCCGTCTTGGAGCGGTCTTCGGGCCCTCTTGGGCGGTCTTGGAGCGTCAGAACGCCGTAAGGGCGAGAACCCCAAACACCCTGAACAAATCAAATGAAAATCAACGGTTTTGCCTCTTGGGGCCCTTGGGAGGCATCTTGGAGGCCTCTTAGAGCGATTTGGCTGCCTGTAGGGCAGTCTTGGGGCCATCTTGGGCGTCTTGGGGCGATCTTTGGGCACTCTTGGACCGTCTAGGAGGCGTCGTAGTCCCCTCTTGGCTTGTTTTGGGGCCCTCTGCCCCCCTATGGCGGGTTCGGTCCGGGGTCGTCCCGGGCCCAGGCGGGGGGGGGTCAAATTCCCGGTTTGGGGTCTTGTGGGGGGAAGTTTTGGGGGGAAAGAATCTCACACGCCTAGAGACCCACAAGGGGTCGACGGATGATGATGATGATGATGATGATGATGATGATGATGATGATGATGATGATGATGATGATGATGATGATGATGATGATGATGATGATGATGATGATGATGATGATGATGTTGCTGCTGCTGAAGATGATGCTGATGTTGATGATGATGATGATGATGGTGGTGGTGGTGATGATGATGAGAAGGAGGATGAGGATGAGGATGAAATTGAGGATGAGGATGGTGATGAGGATGAGGATGAGGATGAGGATGTTGATGCTGATGCTGATGTTGATGCTGATGATGATGATGCTGATGATGATGATGGTGATGACGATGGCGATGACGATGACGATGATGATGATGATGATGAAGAAGAAGAAGAAGAAGAACAAGACGACGATGATGACGATGTTGATGATGATGATGCTGCTGCTGATGATGATGATGATGATGATGATGGTGGTGATGATGGTGGTGGTGGTGTTGGTGATGATGCTGCTGCTGCTGATGATGATGATGATGAGCATGCTGCTGCTGATAATGATGATGCCAATGATGGTTATTGCGATGATGGTGTGAATGCGTTTTACATCGATCGGGGATGAAGCGTTCTATGGTAATGGGGATGATGATGAGAACAAGGAGGTGGAATAGTACAATTGTAGGAACGGGATGGGAAGAAACAGTTGGCGCTTGTGGCAGCTGCAGGAGTGTGATCTGCTCTCGCCCGAGCCCCCTCCAACAGTGTCCTGTGTGCCGCCGCGTCCTGCACGTGACCCGTGGCGAGGACACCGGGATGCTTCCTCTTGGTTCCCCATTCCATCCTTCCACTCTTGTTTGTTTGCTCGTTTGCTTGTTTAGTACTCCCCCTCGCTCTCTCACTATGTACTTATGCATGTCTGTATGAATGCAGGTATGCATTCCTGGCTGCATATCCATACACGTACCGAGATATTTCGGTCCTTCGTTTCTTGCCGACCTTATCCTTAATTATCTTGATGTTTCTCTAGTGTTCTCTCTCTCTCTCTCTCGCTCTTGCTCTACCCTCCCTACTCTCCTTTTCCATGCCCCCCCTTTCTTCATCCATCCCTTACTCCTCGTCCTCTCCCGCCTTTCCTCTTCTCTCGCCCTGGCCCTCTTTCCCTCCCTCTCCCTCTCTCTCTCTCTCTCCTTCTTTCTCCTCTTCCGCCCTCCCCTCTTCTTCTCCTTCTTCTGGTTGTTATTATTATTATTATTATTCTTAGTGTGATGTTCAGTCGTGGACGTTAATACCCCTCGGCCCCTCCACGCCCGCTAGAATATTTCAGCCTTGTGTGCCTCCGCTACCGCGGTGCCTCAAGTCCGAGAGGCCCCCGCGCGGCCGGCCTTAAATGAAAGGCGGGCCGCCCTCGCTGTGGGCGACGCTCGTTGCCACCTGGAACGCGACCCTCGGCACGTGCTGGTCGTGGGGCTGGGCGCAGACCTCCGCGGTGCCAGTCTGGGTGCCGCCCCCGCCGCCTGCCTGGGGCGCCGAGGACGTGTGCCATTTTTCCTGCGACAAGGAGCTGCGGCACATCATCGACCTCCAGGCGAAGGTCTGGGCGCTGCGGAGCCTGCTGCTCGCTGGGCTGCTGCTGCTCGGCTTCGCGAACTCGACCGCAAGCCTGCTGGGGTTCCTGGCCGGGAAGTGCCGGCGCTGCGGCTGCGGCGTTTGCGGGCGGGCGCCTGGCGCTGGCGCCTCGGTGGTCGCGCAGGAGCGCGTGGAGACCCCTCTGGCGGTGGTGAGTGGAGGCTGCGGTCCCGCGACGCCCAGCCGACGGCATGGCTGACGTCCTGACGCTCGACGTCGGGGATCCGCAGATATTGGTGCGGTACGAGAACGATCCGCACGGCTTCTTCTGGCATCACAGGCTGCTGCTCTTCCGGGCGAGCGAGGACATCTGGATCTGCCTCACCCCGGACCACGACCTGGTCCGCATCAAGTTGTTGGACACGCGCCACGAGGTGCTCGAGCGGAGAGCTCCCTTCCCGGCACACCTGGCGAACCAGGTGCACGCCCGCGACCCGATCGGCGGGGCGGCGCTCGCTGCCTTCCAGCGTCGAGCGCGGCTGCACGGTCAGCTGCTCGGCGCCGGCCAGGTCGACGCGATCGAGCGCGTGATCTGGGTGGTGGCGGAGCCGCGCTCCAACCGTTTCGGCGAGGTCATCGACGCAGCGCTGATGGACGACGATGGGCCGCGGGACAGGCTTCGACCAGAAGGGCGCGGCTGTCTTAGACGGGGAGGAGTTCTTCGTGCAGAAGATCGCGGCCAGCGGCCTGGCGGACTTCAAGCGGGGCGCGAACGGGCGCGCCCTGGGCGACCACCGCGACGAGGCGGGGCAGAGGAGCCTGCGGTTGTCAGAGGCGGTAGCGCTGATGTGAGATGCCGAGCAGCCGAACTTCCCGCTTGCTGGCGTCAGGAGCGTGAAGGAGTTCCTGGACCGCGTGGCCTCGGGACTTGGGAATATGACATCGCACCAGGCCGAGTGGGAGCGGCTCAGCAGCGTTGGCGAGGGCTCGGCGGTCAACCACGTGCGCAGGAACCTGCGCGAGGTGATCCGACTGATGCGCTCCTGGGGCCAGGTCGACGCGACGATGCTGGCTTCCGCGGGGCTCCCGGTGCGCTGGCTGATCCAGACAGAGATCGCAGTCGAGCGCAACCCGCGCCACCCCGACTACAGCGGCCTGGACATTGTCATCTCCGCGCCCGTCAACGCCGTTGGACGGGCCCCCACCTCGAAGTTCAACACCTGGGCCGCAGATCTGTTCAGAGAGATGGCGACGATCTGGAAGCAGGGGCGTCTCTACCGGGAGGAGCAGAAGCAGACCCGCAAGGGCGAAGGCAAGGGCGGCGGCGCCCTCGACCCGAACCCGAAGCGGCACTCCAAGATGGCGAAGGGAGGAGCGGCCGGCGCTGGTGGCGGCGCCGGCGAGGAGGGACGAGGCCCCCCGGGGCCGCGGGGCGGCCGGCGCTGGCAGCCCGGGCGCCGACAGACCCCCGCCGCGGCCGACGTCCACGTGGGCTTGCCGCTTCCGGCGCAGGAGGCATCAGGTCGCGCGATCGACGGCGTGGTGATCCCTTCCCGCTGCCGTGCGACGCCTCTGGCCTCGGCGATGCATGTGACTCTGCGCGGCTTCGGCAAGTTTTTGGCTCGGTTCGGGCCCTGGGCCAGCTTGCCGCCGCCAGCCTGAATTCACATCGTGCCCAGGGGCATGACCTACCGCCTGAGGGTCACCTCCGGCCCACCGCTGTGCAGCGCTGGCTGCTCCAGAAAGTCGCGCGGCGGGTTGCGGCCCATGGGGATTGCCCGACTGACCTCGCAGAGGAGTCGCCCTTCGCGGAGATCTTCGACTCCAGAGACCACAACGGCATGGATTGACCGCGCAAGAAACCACCGCAACCGGAAGTTATGGATGTTTCTTGAAAATGTTTTTTTGTTGGTTGTTTTGTTGTCGCGGTTACTGTTGGCACGTGCTTCGATTTCACATGTGTCGCGTTCTCGCGGGGTTGCTTCATTGCCACTTGCAGAGCGTCTCCCGCAGACCATCCCTTCGACGTGCTGGCGCGAGGCCGAGTGGCGTGCCTGCGCGGCGCGGCCTGTTTAACACGACGCGCGCGCGCAGTTCAGAGGAGTTTACATTCGTAGCCGCCTGATTGTTGCGGCACCGCGCCATATTTTTTTGCGCGGCGCGTGACGCTCTTTTCGGATGCCATTTGCGCGTGTTTTGCATGGGCGGATCGCCTTGGCGCAGCGATGCTTCGCGCGGCGTGGTTCGCTTTTCCGCGATGATGCGCCCGTGTGCGCGTGTGTTGTCAGAGCGGCTCTGCGTGACGGCGTGTCCAGTAGCGATTACCATGCCGTTAAGTTTGTTCCTCGTGGGCACGCGGGCCCCCCGCCCCTTTTCCCTTCTTCGCGGCGCGCCAAATTGTTGGAGTGTCTATATGTTTGTTTCGTTGGGCGCTTGCGCATGTGATTTTTTGTGAGCATTGTTCATTTGTTGCCCACCTTTCGCGCGACCTCCTCTGGTTGCTTCCCCCCTCGTCCACTCGCATTATGTTTTGATGGTGTTCTATTGCGCACGTCTCAAAGTGGAGGGCCCGGTCCGCTCGTGGAGGGCGCGACGTTGTTGACAAATCATACGCGTCGCGCGGTTGTGGTAGAAACCACGGCGCGTGCGTCATGCCGATCTGTTCGCGGCAAGTCCCGCGCGCCGCGACCGCGCAGCACTCGGCGTGGCGAGTCTTCGAGCACCGCCACGAAAGCCATAACGCGCGACATGTCGTCGCCCATAGCCTTGCAAGGGCCGCAACATGTGACGCGCTCTTCCGCGCCGCTTCGGGGCGCACTCCTTCGTCTACGTCGTCGCCCTCCCCCTTCCCACGTCCCCCATGTTGTCACCCTCCCTTCTTCCATTTCGTTCTCCTTGTCTCATTATTGCGTCTCCTGGGGTTCTCACGTGGCACACATGGACAACATGTGGTATGTCATGGGTTACTGTCGGGTTGTCATGGGGGCCTTCTGGGACACTCTTGAGTCGTGTATGGGGCTACCTGGGACATTGGGGGCCCTCTTGGGCCGTCGTGAGTTGCCTGGGGGGTATATTGGTGCCGTCTTGGGCCGCGTTCGCCTCCATGCTGGTTTTCTTGCTTTGCCTGGGTTGGGTCTTCAGTTACCCCCAACCCCACTAGGTCTGGTACCAGACCTCCCTTCCACCTCCAACAGGTCTGGCGGGATGCCCCCCTTCCACGTCGACCAGACCTCCCAGCGGGCCCTCCTCCGGCGAGGTGGAGGGGGCCTCCACCAGACTTCCTCTGGTTCTCCTGGAGACCTCCCCCTGATCCCCCCGAGGGCTTGGGGAGGCCTTCCGGAGGCTTCCCTTGGTTTCCACAAGGTGTGGCGAGAGGCTTCCCACGGCCCCTGGGAGCACCAGGCGAGGCCTCCCCCAGGCTTCCGGGACGACCAGGGGAGGTCTCTGGGAGGCTTCCCCTGGTTCACCTGGAAGCCTCCGATGAGAGTTCCCGCAGGGGGGAGGTCTCCTGTGGGGGGCTTTCGGGAGGACCAGGGGAAGCTTCCAGGAGACCTCACCTGGTCCTCCACCAAGTTTCCCCCCAGCGCCCCGGGAGGGCCAGGGGAGGTTTCCAGGGGGCCTCCCCTGGTCTCCCCGGAAGTTTCCCCTTGGAGGGAGCCCTGCCAGATTTCGAGGTCTGGGGGGGGCTCCCGGACCCTGGTCCTCGGGGAGGATTCCCAGCAGGCTTGCAAGGACCAGAAAAGCTTCTGGGAGACCTCCCAGCCCCCTTCTGGAAGTTTGCGGGGGGCCCCCAAGAGGACCAGGGGAGGCCCCCCGGCGGTCTCCCCCAAGATTCCAGGAGGTCGTCAGGACACCGCTAGGAGGCTTACTCTTCGGGGCCCTGAGGCCAGTGGATCACCGGATGCAGTGCAGCCACGGTGGCGACGGCAGCAGAGTCGCGTTCAGCCTCGGCGAAACATTTGCCGCGCGTTTCCAAGCTGGGTGGCTGGTTGGGGGCCTCCGACGGCCACGCCGGGACGTTTGAACTTTGGGTCTTTCCGCTCCAAGAAAACATGGTGGACGTAAGGAAACTTCTGGTTCCTTAATCATGCCCCCCGGGGGGCCTCGATGGTCCCAAAGTGCGAGACATCTTTAGATCCACCAAATTTAATAAGGAATTCCCGAGGTCCCAAGTAAGGTCCTTACTTGGGTGCCTGGCGGTCCCAGAATTCAGGGCCTTACTTGGGTCCTCGGCAATC